GACCTTATGACTGTTCCATTAATTTACTACCCGGCGCTCTGTCACCTCAGGAGAGTAGTGTAATGGAGGAATATATTAAAGATTCATTGAATAAAGGCCACATACGAAAATCATCCTTGCTTGCTGGGGCAGGATTCTTTTTTGTATCTAAAAAGGACGGTGAGTTGCGCACATGTATCGATTACAGGGCTTTGAACAAAATCACCATTAAGAACGCCTACCCCGTTCCTCTTATTGCTGAATTATTTGATAGACTCCAAGGCGCTAAAGTATTTACTAAGCTTGATCTTAGAAAGTGCTTACAATTTAGTGAGAATCAAGGAAAACCACGAGTGGAAGACTGCATTTAATACCAGAAGTGGACACTATGAATATCTAGTGATGCCATTCGGGTTGTGCAATGCTCCAGCGGTTTTCCAAGATTTCATTAACGATGTACTCAGGGATTACATTTACTTGTTTGTCTTGGTCTATCTGGATGATATCCTTATTTATTCTCCTGACATTCAGACTCACCACGATCACGTTAGCCAAGTTCTGCAGACCTTGTTAAAGAATCAACTTTATTGTAAATTAGAAAAATGCATCTTTTACCAATCTGAAGTACAGTTTTTGGGATATAATATCTCTGCCTCGGGGTTTCAGATGGATCCTAAAAAGGTGGAATCGGTTCTACAATGGCCTTTACCCACTGGGTTGAAAGCCATTCAAAGGTTCATATTACAGAAGGTTTATAAAGGGATTTTCTTCAGTAATAGCCCCCATCACCAATATGACACGCAAAGGGGTTAGCAGTACAATATGGTCTAAGGAGGCTATAGAAGCCTTTGAAACTCTCAAACAGCGGTTTGCCTCCGCCGACATATTGATACATCCTGACACCAGTAAACCTTTCATACTGGAAGCTGATTCATCAGAGACAGGGGTAGGGGCAGTTCTCTCCAAGAGGGAGAGCCAGGATATTCCATTGTGGTCCTTGTGGTTACTTCTCTAGAAAGTTGTCTCCTGCCGAGCGCAATTATGATATTGGCAATAGGGAATTGTTGGCCATTATTCTAGCTCTCAAGGAGTGGCGACATCTTTTAGAGGGTTCCAAGGACCCCCTTTTGATCATTACTGATCCCAAAAACCTGGCCTACATAGGAGATGCTAAACGATTGTCTTCTAGACAAGCTAGGTGGTCTCTGTTAATTTTCTTATTACTTATAGACCTGGTTCTAAAAATGTCAAGGCTGACGCCTTATCCAGACAGTACGATACTGAGTCTATACAAGAGCAAGAAAAGTCCCATATCATTCCCCCGGAATGCATCATTGCTTCCACTATCCTTTCATTGTCCTCTCCGCTGCTTGGCTCCATCATGGAGGCTCAGTCTCAGGCGCCCTGCGGTAAACCTCAGGACAAATTGTTCATTCCATTGGGGGGTTAATATCATGAAGGTGTTTCACGACAATGTGTCTGCTGGTCACCCAGGTATTAATAAATCCACTTCTGCTATTATGAGGTCATTCTGGTTGGATTCCCTTAGGAAGGATGTTAAGGAGTATGTGCAGGCTTGTTCTGTTTGTGCGGTTTCCAAAGTCCCTCATATACTCCCTTGTGGCTTGTTACAACCTCTTCCCGTTCCTGAGGTCCCATGGTCCCACTTGTCTATGGATTACATTGTAGAACTTCCTAGTTCTAATGGTTATACCACTATTCTCATGGTTGTTGACCGTTTTTCTAAAATGGCTCACTTCATCCCTCTCAAGAAATTACCGTCATCTCAAGACCTGGTACTGATCTTTATACGTGAGCTTGTCCGTCTGCATGGCATTCATCGCAATATTTGGAGGGCTTTCAGTAAGCAATTGGGGATTGAATTGTCTTTTTCTTCCTCTTACCACCCCCAGACTAGTACAGCTGAGAGGGCTAACCAGTCTTTGGAGTTATACTTGCGTTGTTTCGTTAATAGCACTCAAGACAATTGGTCCGAATTATTACCATGGGCTGAGTTTGCTAGGAACAATGCTGACCATGACTCCTCTGGGCATAGTCCATTTTTTGTTAATAATGGCCGACATCCTACTGTCCTACCGGCTGTTTTTTCTGATACGGCTATTCCTGCTTTGGATGACCATCTGGCTTCCATCCGTGATACCTGGGTTAAAGTTCAATCTGCTCTGGGTACTGCTGCTGACCGTTTCAAGCATTATGCTGATACACGTCGCGGTGCCAACACTGTTTACCAAGTGGGTGAGAGGGTTTGGTTATCTTCTCGTAACATCAGGCTCAAAGTCCCTAGCATGAAATTTGCTCCTAGGTTCCTTTTCGTGTCCTTCGTAGGATCAATCCTGTTGCGTACTCTCTGGCCCTTCCAGCCTCCTTGAAAATTCCTAATACCTTTCATGTGTCCTTGCTCAAACCACTTGTTTGCAATAAATATACTGTCTCAAGTGTCCCTCCTCCTCCCTTAGTTGTTTCTGTAATCCTGACAGTTACCCAATCAAAAAAATCAATAAGATTTGTTTGGCATGATCTCCCTGAAGTAAACCCATGTTGTCTCTGATCTTGAAATCCATGTGTTTTTAGATGTTCATCAATCCTATCCTTTAACATGGTTTCCATCACTTTCCCCACTACTGAAGTAAGGCTTACTGGCCTATAGTTGCCCGACTCCTCCCTATTACCTTTCTTGTAAATGGGCACAACATTCGCTAACTTCCAATCTTCTGGGACTACTCCTGTTAACAATGATTGGTTAAATAAATCTGCTAATGGTTTTACTAGTACACCACTAAGCTCTTTTAATAACTTTGGGTGTATTCCATCAGGTCCCATTGACTTATTTGTCTTTACTTTTGACAGTTGAAATTGTAACGGCACCCCCAGGCATAAAAGGGGTTAAAAGCCGTTTAGGAGATCTTGCCCTTCCAGAGACACAGTCAGCTACTGTAGAACAATAAACTCCCAAACTGGATACAAGGGAATGCTCCGAACTCCCGAACTGGAACCTCACGAATAGCTGCTAGCAGCTGAACAGGAAAAGCACCCAAGCGGCTTACACTCCTGGCAATCAGTCTCTAACAGCATACAGTAAATCCATCCAAGAATGAGACAAAGCTCCGTGTGCTGTGGGTTTATTGTTCTTATATACACATTAGTACCACCCACAGGGTTTTGGAAAACAACCAATAAACACGTACAATACACTCAGACACTACCACACAAAATCCTCCCCTCTGCCTGTCATACAATTACCTTACACAATGGGTAATATAATTATCACAGACAGAGAAATACAGTTTTTCCACATTATTCATAACTTTAAAAGTATGCATCACATTCACATTTCATACATTTTCAGAATCAGCATACTAAAAATACGAACATATGTCAAAATCAACCACATTGGTCCATTGGTTCAAAAGATAGATCGAAGTCCTTTGTGACCAAATGAAGCATGGCTTTTCTGCCCAAAACCAGTTCCACAGAGTCTTCTATCCTGGAGATAATTGGGAAGTAATCCAATTATCTCCAAGGAGAGAGGAAAAACTCCATTAAGCACATGGCAGTAAAAAGACAGTAAAATACATAAAATACACAAGGTTACATTTATTACATAAAATACAGACATGCAACATATCCCCAGATAGCTAAGGTCTGAGCGCACATTATTACTGAATGGCGCTCAGACCACACACATACAGTTCAATTGCCATGGAGCCAAAGTCTTTTATTACACGAATAGGCTCCATGGCATAGCTATCTGGGTTAAATTAGTTCATTCAGTAAATTCGAGAATCTACCGAACGCCAGAGCAGAAATACATAAATAGACCTTTCTGCATAGGAATATAAAGTTTTTTAATGCCGGTCCATAGTCAAAAGGCAGCAGGCAGGCACGCAACCAGGCTTCTCCAATGCACAGTGGTGAGATTGGTCTCGTCACAGAAATAGAACCTCTTCCTCTGTAAACTCACATGTAACAAATGACTCATTTGTCCTTTTTCCTAACTGAGGCCCCTTTCCTTCATTTTCATCTGTAAATACAGAACAAAAATATTAATTGAGGCATTCAGCTAGACCTCTTATCCTATTCTACATACATTCCTTCTTTTGTTTTTAATGTAACTAATCCTTGTTTTGCTCTCCTTTTCTCATTTATGTATCTAAAAAATGTTTTGTCCCCCTTTCTTTACTGACTGTGTTATGTTCACTTCTGTGTGTGATTTGGAAGCTTTTATAACTTGCTTAGCCTCTTCCAGCCTAATCTTATAGATCATTATGTCTTCCTCACTCTGTTGTTTTTTTTTTTTATAATTACTAAATGCTAACTTTTAGTTTTTTACTATTTTGGCCACATCTGTGGAGTACCACAGTGGTTTCTTGAATTTTTTGCTTTTACTGACAAGCCTAATGCAATTTTCTGTTGCCTTCAGCAGTGCAACTTTTAAATAATTCAATTTCTCTTGGACTCTATTTAAATTGATCCAGTCTGATTTACACATATTCTAATTTTAGAAAAGTTTGATTTTCTGAAGTGTAAAACTTTAGTTTTTGTGTGGTGTGACTTAGTCACTGTTCTTATATTAAACCACACTGACTGATGATCACCGGATCCTAAACTTTCACCTACAGTAATATCTGACACCAAATCTCCATTTTTTTAACACTAAATCTAGTATGGCCTCCTTACGAGTTGGCTCCTCAACGACTTGTTTTAAAGACAATCCCAGTAGGGAGTTTAGAATATGTGTGCTCCTGGCACAAGCAGCTATTTTTGTTTTCCAATTCACATCAGGTAGATTAAAGTCACCCATGATGATAACTTCCCCCTTTATTGTCATTTTAGCTATTTCCTCAACTAGTAGATTATCTAACTCTTCTATTTGTCCTGGGGGCCTATAAATCCCACCTACACGAGTTACTTTGTGATTATCAAATTCTAACGTAACCCAAACGGACTCAATGTTCGCCTTACTAACTTATTAGGCTAGATTTTATGCTATTCTTCACATACAGGGCCACCCCTCCCCCTTTCTTGCCGTCCCTGTCTTTTCTATATAAAGAGTACTCTGGTATTGCTATGTCCCAGTCATTTTTCTCATTATACCATGTCTCAGTAACAGCGACTAAATCTACATTATCAGTTGCCATTATTTCCACAAGTTCATGGTTATACTGGGTGGGTTTATATTATTAAAGGGACACTCCAGACTCCCTCACACGTTAGACGCACTATGTAGGTTAGGTTACAGTTAGTTATACTGGGTGGGTTTATATTATTAAAGGGACACGCCAGGCTCCCACACACGTTAGGTGTACTGTGTAGGTTAGGTTACCGTTAGTTATACTGGGTGGGTTTATATTATTAAAGGGACACTCCAGGTTCCCACACACATTAGGTGCACTGTGTAGGTTAGGTTACAGTTAGTTATACTGGGTGGGTTTATATTATTAAAGGGACACTCCAGGCTCCCACACACGTTAGATGCACTATGTAGGTTAGGTTACAGTTAGTTATACTGGGTGGGTTTATATTATTAAAGGAACACTCCAGGCTCCCACATACATTAGATGCACTGTGTAGGTTAGGTTACAGTTCGTTATACTAGGTGGGTTTATATTATTAAAGGGACACTCCAGGCTCCCACACACGTTAGGTGCACTGTGTAGGTTAGGTTACAGTTAGTTATACTGGGTGGGTTTATATTATTAAAGGGACACTCCAGGCTCCCACACACGTTAGGTGCACTGTGTAGGTTAGGTTACAGTTAGTTATACTGGGTGGGTTTATATTATTAAAGGGACACTCCAGGCTCCCACACACGTTAGATGCACTGTGTAGGTTAGGTTACAGTTAGTTATACTGGGTGGGTTTATATTATTAAAGGGACACTCCAGGCTCCCACACACATTAGGTGCACTGTGTAGGTTAGGTTACAGTTAGTTATACTGGGTGGGTTTATATTATTAAAGGGACACTCCAGGCTCCCACACACGTTAGATGCACTGTGTAGGTTAGGTTACAGTTAGTTATACTGGGTGGGTTTATATTATTAAAGGGACACTCCAGGCTCCCACACACGTTAGATGCACTGTGTAGGTTAGCTTACAGTTAGTTATACTGGGTGGGTTTATATTATTAAAGGGACACTCCAGGCTCCCACACACGTTAGATGCACTGTGTAGGTTAGGTTACAGTTAGTTATACTGGGTGGGTTTATATTATTAAAGGGACACTCCAGGCTCCCACATACGTTAGATGCACTGTGTAGGTTAGGTTACAGTTAGTTATACTAGGTGGGTTTATATTATTAAAGGGACACTCCAGGCTCCCACACACGTTAGATGCACTGTGTAGGTTAGGTTACAGTTAGTTATACTGGGTGGGTTTATATTATTAAAGGGACACTCCAGGCTCCCACACACGTTAGATGCACTGTGTAGGTTAGGTTACAGTTAGTTATACTGGGTGGGTTTATATTATTAAAGGGACACTCCAGGCTCCCACACACGTTAGGTGCACTGTGTAGGTTAGGTTACAGTTAGTTATACTGGGTGAGTTTATATTATTAAAGGGACACTCCAGGTTCCCACACACGTTAGATGCACTGTGTAGGTTAGGTTACAGTTAGTTATACTGGGTGGGTTTATATTAATAAAGGGACACTACAGGCTCCCACACACGTTATATGCACTGTGTAGGTTAGGTTACAGTTAGTTATACTGGGTGGGTTTATATTATTAAAGGGACACTCCAGGCTCCCACACACGTTAGGTGCACTGTGTAGGTTAGGTTACAGTTATACTGGGTGGGTTTATATTATTAAACAGACACTACAGGCTCCCACACATGTTAGATGCACTGTGTAGGTTAGGTTACAGTTAGTTATACTGGGTGGGTTTATATTATTAAAGGGACACTCCAGGCTCCCACACGAGTCCCTTTTATTTACAAAAAATCATTATCCTAAACTTTCGGTTGGCTTTCACCTTTGTTGCTTAAAAGGTAATCACAAAAAGTAGGCCAAAAATGAACCAAAAGAGATGTGGTATGGTGGATATAGAACTAGTATTCTGTCAATGTAAAAGTAGAAACAATAAAATGATATTATGTTATATATAGAAATGATAAGTAATATTGTGATATTATGGTCCCCAGTATATCCGGAGGTATCCACACAAATAATATAATATATTACCTGTGATGTATTGTACATTATGCAATTTTTGCCTTTAATATACTCAGTATTAATACATTACCAAACGCTGAGATATATTGCGGCACGTTATAGACTGGAAGTTGATCGTCTTATAGAAATCTTATAGAAATCTTTTTCTTTTTTGAAACCCCCCCAAGAGAACGGTTGTTATCCTGGAGCAATGGCCGTCCCTCGACTCTGTCCACGGTCACAATGCTAAGCCCTCCTTAAAAATATTTATGTGTATTTAGTTCTGAAAAGCAGCTGTTGGTTGAATTCGATCTGCAGAATGGTTCAGGTAAAGCCCTTGCTAATTATCTACCAGACAATTGAACATAACAACCTCTATTGATGGGAGAAAGCTGGGGGCAAGGAAAGACCCCTCATTACACCACTGCCATTTACTCCAAATCTCCTGTCCTCTTTAGCAGCATTAAGATTGGATGTAAATTTACTAGTTAACGTTGTTAGAAAATGGATAGTTCAAGAAGGGGCAGGCATTAAAACTTAGTATTAGCAGTCGATAAGCTTCTTTGCTTTTGCAGCCAAAGCTATTTAACATTCATGGGAAAAAATCACCATCAAACGCGTGTTATCGCAGCTCACTTGATGGCTGAGGGAATTCATAACTATGATAATTCTGTCTTTTTCCCCCTATGCAGCTGTACGCAAAAAAAGGCACCTCGTTCCTGGTGGATATGTGAGATGGTTTTGGGTTAGGAAACAGGGATTCTGCTTATTTTAGCATTGTGAGGGATGGATAATTGTTGTGCAGTTTGAATATACATTTATTTTTTATTATAGTTATTATACTGTAATATAGGCAATGGATAACACGTCACGTTTTTAGCTCCTGAGTAAGATAAAAAGGCCTCTCTGTTATGCAGTTACGCCCTGTATATGTACACTACTGTCCAAATTATATTGGTTGTCCAAGGCAGATATTCTCAAAGGTAAACTGTTAATTTTCTGGAAAATACAAAATTAAATAAAACAACGAAAATCACTTTACAATAATTTGTGTTAGCCTTTATTTCAAGTAATGCTTTGTTTTCGTTTAAAGGGACACTATAGTCACCAGAACAACTACAGCTTATTGAATTTGATCTGGTGAGTAGAATCATTACTTTCAGGCTTTTTGCTGTAAACACTGTCTTTTCAGAGAAAATGCAGTGTTTACATTACAGCCTAGTGATAACTTCATTGGTCACTCCTCAGAGGTGCTTCCTGGGGCAGTGCTGCACAGTGAGCAGCACTGTCATTCAGTGTCTCCACCCTCTGCATGCAGATACTGAACTTTCCTCATAGAGATTCATTGATTCAATTCATCTCTATGAGGAGATGCTGATTGGCCAGGGCTGTGTTTGAATTGTGATGGCTCTGCCCCTGATCTGCCTCCTTGTCAGTCTCAGCCAATCCTATGGGGAAGCATTGTGATTGGATTAGGCTACCACTTCTGATGATGTCAGCAGACTGCTTGTTTTTTTTTAGGCAAACAGCATTCAGATCTACAGCTTCTGGCTTGAATACAGTAACATTTTGCTATATTTCTGGAAGCATGAGGGGCCCAGGGGCGCTAGATGGTGGTTTTAACACTATAGGGTCAGGAATACATGTTTGTGTTCCTGACCCTATAGTGATCCTTTAAATTTAACAATTGGCATCACAATCCAGGTAAGACAGGGCACAGCCAGGGCACACAATGCAAATGAGAAGAAATAGAAACATTGTTTCATGTCTCCTCTTTTCTGTATGTTCTCTCTATACTGACTGCCAGGTGTAATGGGCGGAGCTTATAACAATGATTGACAGGGAGCTAAAATGGAGGTGGCTCTCTCTATACTGACTGCCAGGTGTAAAGGGCGGAGCTTATAACAATGATTGACAGGGAGCTAAGATGGAGGTGGCTCTCTCTATACTGACTGCCAGGTGTAAAGGGCGGGGCTTATAACAATGATGACAGGGAGCTAAGATGGAGGCGGCTCTCTCTATACTGACTGCCAGGTGTAAAGGGCGGAGCTTATAACAATGATTGACAGGGGAGCTAAGATGGTGGCAGCTCTCTCTATACTGACTGCAAGGTGTAAAGGGCGGAGCTTATAACAATGATTGACAGGGAGCTAAGATGGAGGTGGCTCTCTCTATACTGACTGCCAGGTGTAATGGGCGGAGCTTATAGCAATGATTGACAGGGAGCTAAGATGGAGATGGCTCTCTCTATACTGACTGCCAGGTGTAAAGGGCGGAGCTTATAACAATGATTGACAGGGAGCTAAGATGGAGGCGGCTCTCTCTATACTGACTGCCAGGTGTAAAGGGCGGAGCTTATAACAATGATTGACAAGGAGCTAAGATGGAGGTGGCTCTATACTGACTGCCAGGTGTAAAGGGCGGAGCTTATAACAATGATTGACAAGGAGCTAAGATGGAGGTGGCTCTCTCTATACTGACTGCCAGGTGTAAAGGGCGGAGCTTATAACAATGATTGACAGGGAGCTAAGATGGAGGCGGCTCTCTCTATACTGACTGCCAGGTGTAAAGGGCGGAGCTTATAACAATGATTGACAGGGAGCTAAGATGGAGGCGGCTCTCTCTATACTGACTGCCAGGTGTAAAGGGCGGAGCTTATAACAATGACTGACAGGGAGCTAAGATGGAGGTAGCTCTCTCTATACTGACTGCCAGGTGTAAAGGGTGGAGCTTATAACAATGATTGACAGGGAGCTAAGATGGAGGTGGCTCTCTCTATACTGACTGCCAGGTGTAAAGG